TCCCCAAAACTGCCAGCGGCAGCCTCAAAATTAATTTTTTTTTTTTTAAACTCGCGAGCTCACGGGCCAGCTCGGGCAAAGCCTGTGTCCCCAAAATGGGGCTCGGCCTGAGCCTAGGCTTGGGTCTACTGAGCCCCGAGCCGGGCTGGCTCGGACTTTTTCCGAGCCAAGTCACCGCTCGAGCCCGATTGCTATTCCTATATAATTCCATGTTTGTTGCTATGCTTCCAAACCTCCGCTATTAAGTCTATTGACTAAGAAAAATAGAAGGATCAAGGGCCGGACCAGTTATATAAAAATTAAATAAATAAATAAAAGATAAAATTTAAGAAGCAAATCGATTTATCTTTGAGTTATTAAATAATTTTCAATATTTCACATATAATCAGATCGATTTGTCAATATTAATTCTTAAATATCGTCATAAATTCAGCTATACATCCTTTTGTTGTCTTTTTTAAGATCCTATTTGAAAAGATTTTTATTTTTGCTTCTACTTCTTGAAGAAGTCACTTTAGAACAACTTTATTTAAAAGTCATTCTATTCAAACACAACACTCGTAAAAAATTATCCAAATATGTTCAAAGATAGTTTTTTCGTCTAAAAAGATAGTTTTCACTTTTCAAAAGCTCTTTCAAATGTTCGTAAGCAAATAATTAATTCCAGCCATAAGTCAAGCTAGCTGGATGCACTTAAAACCATCAATTAAGCCCCCGTTTGATCCCCATTAAATTCAATTACATCACATTACATTTTTATCTCTCTTATTTTCAACCACACAATCTTTCATAAAATAATATTATACGTAAATCGAAAACTTTTCCTTCTTTTTCAACCACTCATTTTTCTAAAAAATACTATTCCCCTCATTTTCATTTTCATGTAATGGAGGTCAAACGGGAAGTAAAGCTGAGAATAATTATTAACATGACTTAATGACTTATTATTTAACATTCTATTTGATCTTTTCAAGTGAGTTTTAATGCTTTCTAATTTTGCTAATCCGAATTGATTAATCGAACCGTAATTTGAGAAAATATCTCCTTGTATATCCCATTTTGGAAAGAAAGGAACATCACTATCTTCATGTTGTTCACTCATTTACATTTTTGTTGAAATATGAATTTATACTACAACGCATTGTTTATATACTTATCCTATCGATGAATATCACATACTCATCTTGTATACGCACATGATAATTATTTTATACGATATAAATGCGACACGACCTACATATTGATCTAATGATAATGAAATTGATGTGCTTTAATTTACAAGTTTTGACGATGTTATTGCCTTTTCTCATCAATTTCTACTCTTATTTATAGTGAATAATCACTAAAACATGAAACGTGCACACATTTTTTGGTGTCAAAACTATTATTTCCCACCAAGAGGCATAGGGCAACGCGCTACTACTGCAAAGTAGTTGCACTGCATAGGTGGTGCTCTGCACTCCTCTCCTGAGTTTTCTCCCTTCATTCATAGCCAATCTTGTGGCGAGCCCAATGAGGCTTGTGCCTCAGGCCCAAAATCGGAGAGGGCCTCATTTTTTGCCCGATTTTTTAATTTATTTTTTATTTGTTTGAAGCAGGATTTTTCTATTCTTCCTCCTCATTCGCTACCTTTTTCTCCTTTGTCTTCTCATATTCTTTCTTCTCCTCCTCAGTCGGTGGCATCGAGTGGAGTGGCATCAAAATTCTCCGCCACAGCCTTCTCCGCAAGCGTTGACTCCTCATCTGCATACCACACTTTAGTTTTGTTACAAATAGGAAAAAAGGTAAAGTCTTTACACTTGTCGGAGGAAATAATATTTAGAAAATAGTTTAAAATTTTTGGTGTAATTATTCATGCGAACTGAATGAGATGGATTTAATAGGGAAAAAAATCTAGAGGGAAGCTACTTTAGAACGGTCTTCGAGAAATTGACTCTTTATGAGTTGAGTGATGGAACGAACATAATGATTAGGGTTTTGATTTTTGAATTTGTTGACAATCGAACTCCGACCTAACAAAAACAATTCGCTAAACCCACCACAGGCAGATGTGAGTTCGGTCACTGCTCTCAGATTGGACTAGCCCGTCGTTATCTCAGGAAAACATCATGATTACCTCCTGTTACATCACCCTATCAATCATATACACTTGCCACAAGTGATGTCATCACTGCTCAAAATCGCCAATCCGAAGTCATGATTCTCAAGCCCCTTGCAGGTCATCATTACCTGGGGAAAACATTGACAAATGGCCACCTGCCTCGTCGACCAATCATAGGAGAATTCGGCGACCCAAGTTCCGAGCTCGGTATTGTAGCTGATTTGATGTAATTTCGGCTGGAGCCATGTATAAATAGTAGGGCAGAAATCTTGTAAATGACAAGTGAATTCATGTAAAAGCTCATGGCACTCTCAACATATTTTGTGGTTTCTTTCAATAATCAATTTCCCTTTTTCTTAAAGTTGGCTTAAAATTAGCCTTGCTAATTTTGACGTCAACAGAATTAATTGTAGATCAGGTGATGGAAGAGATAGAAAATATTGGGGTGCATTTTGTTTGCGTTTTTGTTTTATGTTTTGAATTCATTTTTTTTTTGAAGGATTATTTTAATGTTACAGAAAAAGTGTTTGGTTGGTCATTCTGAAAATCATTTCTATTTTAAAAATAACATACCAAATACGTTTTGAGTATTTTCGAAAACTGAAAAACTAAAAATAGCCTCAAAATGACAAACCAAATGCACCCTTAGGGTTTGATTTCCAATTAATTTTGAATTTTGTTGAAGTTCAGTTCATGCGTTATTGCTCAACTCTCTAAATTAAGGGTGATGTGATCGAGGAATGGGAATGCTTATCACGAGTTTGATATTGAGTAATAAATATACTTGTTAAATCTGGAATTCGTTGCTTCTATTAATTGGGTTTTAATATTTTTCTTAGTTCGACTCAATTTATTTTTCTGGTAGGTTACTAGTAATGTTTTGTATTAGTAATTTACTAAATTATGTTGATCATTGGGGCAATATCAAGCGATGGCGCTAACGGGAGCCGCCAGACTTGCACAATGACTTGTCTTAACTTATTATTCAAGAGTGTGATTCCATAATTTTCGTTGAAATTTTACTTCTCAGATAAATAATGGCTTACCCTAACTTGTTATTAAATATTTGTTTGTTGTTTTAATGTAAAGTTTTAAGTTAGCATTAGGATGTGTAATACATCGTTGAAATTTGCATTTGCATTGATTTTGGATCCCTAATTTATGGATTTCGCCTTGAGTCCAAACATCATAGGATTGCCCTGCCTTCATGTGACATCTTCGTCCTCCAATGCTTGAAGTATCACTAGAAAGAAAGATTAAGCCATACGACCAATTACGATACAAGGTTTCCCACAAAAGGCAATTATATAAAAAAGGGAAAAATAATAATAATAACAGGGTTGCAGTGAAAAATATTGATATTTTTTTTTATCTCAAAATTATAACAAAATTCGAACTTAAAGGAAAACACGACAAATAGAGTCTATACAATTTTTTTTACTTGTATATGTAATTTTATTTTATTTTATTTTTTGGTAAAATTTCTTTACAACGATTTTAAGTTACACTCTTTTTATTCTGTTACGGTGCGTCCAATCCTTTTTTTTTATTTTTTATTTTTATTTTTATTTTTTTTAAATTATAACTTCAAAGTCAGCCATAATCACATTATATTCCCTTTTTTTTTCATAGCTCATGTTACAAATTGTATAATAATCATATTACATCTTCGCATTTCTTTTTTAATTTGCTAATTATTAAAATTTACATGCATGTAATATTTTGCTTATTGATATAGATTCGGTAACAATGAATGCATATTGTAACGAAACGTTTGCACCCTTTGTTTGGTGGGAATTAAAATCAAATTTTTAGTACATTTTGATCAGAGTTGATAAAATATGTGATTAAAATTAATTGTTGACACATATTACCAAACAGGGATATAAGAGGAATGCTAACAAAGAAACTCACACGTCTCTACAAATCAAACTCTATATTATCATATACAATTAATCAATGTCATAAATCAATTATCGATAAATGTTTGAAAGAAGAAAAAATATTAAGCCCCTGTTTGGTAAAGATCATGTGAGTCTCGTTAGGTCTACTAGTTCGAACCAATCCTACAGTTTCTAACAACGGCTAATTTGAGCTTATGAATTAGTGGATCTTTGTTAGGATCAAACTAAAATCAAGAAAAATGATACTCAAGCTTTTTTGTTGTTGGACTATTCTATTCTTCTCTCTCCTTGCCATTATTTATGAAAAAATTTGGCGTTGATATCAACACATATATTTTATATAACAATACAGCCAAGCTCGTCACCATCAAAAAAGTAAAAAAAGAAGAAAAACATAATGATTTGTTTGAATCTTGTTGTTTGGAAGTGATTGAAAGATTAAATTATAATCTGGCATTGTACAAGGCACCATTTTCATTGTTGATCCTGCAAGACTGCAGACTGAACGTCCATCAAATTACTCAAGGAATCCAAATTTTCAAAAAAAAAAAAAAAAGAAAGAAAGAAAAAAAAAAAAATGGAAATTCCCATAATGAAGAGAAGCACATTTACATGCACTGTCTACAATATTTTTGTTATTCTCTTCCTTTTACTTTCTGCAACTTCAATTGCCAAAGACTTTATTGAGGAAGAAGGAGATTTAGACATCAAAAGATCTGATTTTCCAGACGGGTTTCTCTTTGGAGCTTCTACTTCTTCATACCAAGTTTGTGTTTCTTCTTTCTGTTTTTTAGCTTAAAAAAAACTTTCAAGTAGGAAATAAGTATCCTCCCAGTTTCCGACAGGATTTAAGACTCATTTTTTGTGCTTTAGATTGAAGGAGCATATCTTGAAGACGGTAAAGGTCTTAGTAACTGGGACGTTTTTTCTCATATTGAAGGTGACATAATTTCTACGATTCCATATGATTTTTCTAATTGTTTCCTAGAATTAAGCTACTTGTACACTTTCTTTGGCGGAAACGATGACAAATGAAGTGTCTCTTGCTGATGTGAAGTTTGTGGGAATTAAAAATAAAAATTAACAATAATTGAAATGTTTCTAAAAATTTCATCGATCATCCTTTCTGTCAACCGAGATGTACAGTTTACAAGGAGTAAGGTCCTTCTTTCCTATTTCCAATGAATTTTTTTTACTGTTTGGTTATTAAATTATGTCAGGCGGCATCGAAAATGGAGAAAATGGCGATATAGCTTCAGATCATTATCACCGTTACATGGTACAAACACTACATTTACCTTATATTAAAATTTTCAGTAATTAATGGTTAAATTTGTTAATCATGCACAGGAAGACATTGAGATACTACATTCTCTAGGGGTAAATGCTTACCGCTTTTCAATTTCATGGAGTAGAGTTCTTCCTAGTATGCATTTTCTCTCTAGGCCTCATTTTACCTTTATTTTTGGTTAGCAATTTCTTCATAATTAATGTTATTTTGATTTTGAAGGAGGAAAGTTTGGTGGAGTTAATCAAGCAGGAGTCTTGTTCTATAATCAAATTATCGATAATCTCCTACTCAGAGGTACGATCTTATTCCGTGCTTTACCCTGTTTGAATAGTTTGTTTCAGTGATGGGATTCAAAACTCATTACAGGAATTGAACCATTTGTGACAATTCACCACTCTGACTATCCTCAAGAACTCGAAGACAGATATGGGGGTTGGCTGAGTACCTTAATGCAGTACGTAGAAGTTACCTTTCGACCCTGAATATATTGGGATGTGGCCTAGTTTTGGGACTGTTTCGATTTCAAGTCATAGATGTGGTTTTTGTAGGGATGACTTCGTCCATTTTGCTGAGACGTGTTTTAAGAGTTTTGGTGATCGTGTGAAATATTGGAGTAGCATTAACGAGCCCAACTTATTCGGAATTTTGGGTTTTGAAATTGGAATTTGCCCACCCGCTCGTTGTTCACCGCCCTTTGGCAACTGTCCACATGGCAATTCAGATATCGAGCCCCTGATTGCTGTACACAACATGTTATTGGCACATGCCAAAGCTGCTAACTTATATCACATGAAGTTTAAGGCAAGTATCGACTATCATTTAGCTTAGAAGCTTAGAAATGCACTAAGAAACTCACTTCGATGCAGCGTAAACAAGGAGGTATGATCGGCATCATTTTGCATGCAATAATGTATAAACCATTAACGGAAGATAAGTCCGACCAGGAAGCTGCAGATAGGGCGTTGGCTTTTAATATTGCTTGGTAAGCATCAAAATTTAGTCATTTTATGAAGTTTTTTTAATGTTACCTTAACNGGAGCTTTCTTGAGACAGTATGAGACTTTGGAAAGAAGTATGAGTTGCTAACGTTTCTTGATTGGGGGTCAATTTTATTTTTTATTTTTTTTGTAAAAGCTATTTTACCTCGCTTTCACCCCCAAATGAATTTTGTCTCGATCAATTTGTGTTTAGCTCTCAATTTGTAAGGACTTGGTAAATACAAGTTGGCCACATTATGAGTCTAAGTAGCAATTAGGTGACATTTTATTAATCTGCCATCTTAAATGAGTTGACAAATGACTGGTGGTTAGGGTTTCTTTAAACGCAGTTGAATAAACTGAGAGATTTGAGGTTATTGAAGGTTGAAGAAGATAAAGAGAAGAAATGAGCTTGATTGCAGTAATAGGGATGGTGATGATTATGGGACTATGGGCAGTTTTTCTGAGGCATCAGCTCTTAAAGATTTGCTGCAGAAATGATGGATTTCATTCTTTCCTCCGTGGATACTTGAACTCAGAAGAAGAAGAGTTTTGCTCCTGTCTAGTTCTGTATGAAACGAAGTTAAATAGACTTTTAAGTTACTTATTTTGTTGAAAATTATTTTCATATTAAGAAAATTTATTTTCTTGAGAAAAGAAAAAACATTTTTAAGTGCAGTAAAACATGCAGTGATATAAGAGAGATTATTTTAGATATTTTTAATAAGAATAATGTTATGCAGTTCCATTGGGATTATAATTTCAATTTTGGTGGTACTAAGAGCTTGTTTGTTTGGGATTTTAATTCAATTAAAATCAATTTTTTGATCGTTATTACACTATTTTAGCCGTTATTTTTGAATTCTTCTTTCACAGGTAGGGTTCATTTTATCTCTAACGGTTAAAAAATCAATTATCAAAATTCCTACCAAACAAGCACTAAATAATAGACTGAATGAAAAATTAAATTAAATTATAGCATTACTCTTTCAATAAATTCATCGATTTCTTCTGCACGGCCCAAATGACTCGGGTCTGGTATGATGGGCTTCTATTGTGGAGTCCGGTTTTTATTCATCTTCAATAAGGGGCGAAAGTCTATGAAGTTCAACGGGCCACTAATTCATCATCGTTCTTCTCGAAGTTTATTTGGCCATCACAGCCATCCTTTATACATTCCAACGTTCCTTGCCAATCATTAGTAAATGATCTTTCACTAATACAAACCATTACACGGAAAATTTAAAGATTTTTGCACGGTCGAATAATATGATCTAGTACATGATCAATTATCTTGCTTGCAAGGCAGCAGTGGGCCCAGGGGTTTGGCTGCAAATTGCAATCCCAAATCAATATTCAATAGTTGTACCAAAATCAAATAATTACACAAACATGTTGTTAAACAGCAAATGGGTCAAGGAGAAGAGATGGCCCTTTAATTAAGTTGTGGGTGGAAATTATGTCATGTCACCTATAGACAAAAGAGTCATTATTTTTCCAGCTAAGGTGAGGTAGGTGGATAGCTCTATCCCTTTCCCCAATCAACTTCACCACTATTACACCTGAATGCGTGTGCATAGAATCCTTTAGGGGGTACGATGAGCCGAGGCGAGTCAGTTCGACTTTTAGACATTCGAACTTAACGCGATCCTATTAACTAGTTGAGCTCGATTCATGTCTACTAGTTAACTTGTTTTTTTAGTATGAAATAAGCCCAAAAACGAGTCCATGAGTTGGCCCGTGACCAAAATTTGACATGAGCTATGTCTCAATAAAAGATCGAATTGTTCGTGGATTGAATCGGGAAGAATCGACCCTACAAGGCGACGAGCGATTTGACACGTTTGTCACCCCTAGAATTTCTCATCTAAAAACATAAAATTAGAAAAGCCCAACATACATAATGTTAAAAAGGTCTCATTATTAATTATTTGTTAAAATTATAAATATACTAAAATTAAATGAAATACGTTTTGAAAATTTATACTTGTATTTCTGTGGTGGTTTTTAACGTGAGTTGGTGAGTGGGTTGTGGGGGCATATTATTATCCCAAAAAAGAAATTAATCAATTATTGCCTTATTTCATCAAAATCTATTTTGCTATTACTGAAGTGAAATTCAGATTGAGATTTTAGTGAAAAGTGAAAGCGATGTACAACCCTAATATTCACAAGGTTCAAGCTTTGATTACTACTTTTTATCAAACTCCATAAAGAGAGGCAACTCCACTCGTGAATGTCACAAATACAATAATTAACACTTAAACCAAAGATTTGATGATTTGTTTTGATTGGAAAATTTCACATGGTTAAATCAAAAGTCGATTAATTTTGATTTGATTCTTGAGGTTGAACTTTGATATCAAAATAGCCCCTTAAGTTCCTAAAATAGATAATTGATACATCACGATTCACGAGTAGGGCATCAACATAAATCATACTATAGTCTTGAATAGGACTCATATGAGCCAAGTCACGAGTTGGCTCGACAACGCTCCTCTTACAAATGGATCATGACCACTACAGGGGCTCTGTAATCTTCATCGATCAAGTCTAGTGAGTCTAAAATTTTTTAAAGAAAAGAAGAAAAATCTATTAGTTAAAATCACAATTTTATGGATTAGTAGGCTCGGTGTAAACCATAAAGACATGTGAACTAAGAAATTCAAAATCTTATAATAACAGACCATTTACACATTTATCTGTTAGTAATATAGACGACAGACCCTTCGGTTTTTTATTCCATTGAAGGATAAATTATTCTTCTGATACGATTTTTTTAATTTTTCAACGATCGGTTTTCATCATTTGGGGACTTAAAAAGTACGCATTTTATAGGTAAAGGATTTAAGTGCTCGTTTTTTGGAGTTGGAAACCCACAAACACACTTGAAAAAAAGGTTGGGAGCTTATAGTATAATTCTCCCCCTAATAGAATGGGAGTAATCTTTATTAAAAAAGAAAACATTCCCTGAGGAGGAAGCAGTGCCATAGTTATTTGGGCCGGGTCAGGTAAATCGGGTAAGGAAGGTGGGTCCATTATCAGTGAAACTGTATTATTCCTTTCCCATTTCCTCACTCCATTACACTGATCGAGAGTAACAGTAAAGCAAAGCAAATCTACACGCACTAGCACACAGTCAACCTAACATTTCTGAGACCTTCAAGAACAAGAATACGAACATGAAAAGACATTGAAATGACCCTTGAGCTACTCACCATTCTTGGCCCACTCTTCCTGTTTTATCTCTATATGATATTGATACATGTATTTTCACTCTACCACACGGAGAGATATAAAAAGAGACATTCACACACATAAATGAAAAAGAGGAAGTGTCGGCATTGAAAATGCAGGACCCACTTTTGTTCGGCTAAAAAAATATATCCCAATAGCACCTGCATGTGCCTACTACCTCCCTCGATCTCAGAAAATTCTTTAGCTTACAGAATAGGGGGTTCAATAAAGAATTTTCTCTGTGTGTGTATTTTTGTGTGCCTGCGTGTTTCTGTGAGATTAATAGATTATGGAGCCAAGAACTCGTCTCGATTATGCTCTGTTTCAACTAACTCCGACAAGAACCAGGTACATTCTGTGAATCTCCATTCCCATTGCATACATATAATTTAATTTGAATTCGACATTGTTATTCATTAAAAACCTTGTCGAAAAATAGGTGTGATCTTGTGATCTTTGCTGGTAAAAAGAATGAGAAATTAGCGTCAGGACTACTGGATCCTTTTATTTCCCATCTTAAATCAGCTAAAGATCAAATTTCAAAAGGGGGCTATTCCATTACACTAAAACCTGCCCCCACGGACGTTTCATGGTTCACTAAAGCCACTTTAGAAAGGTACGGTTAATTTCTTTTAGTTATAATGCCTATCTGAGTTTTTCGTTTTTT